ATGCAGCAAACTCACTAACTGTGCAAAAATTGCGGAGAAACCCACATTCACTGGAAATAAGAACCCAATCAACAACTCTTTATGTAAATATAAAGTTAAGAAATAGCACTGTAAGGAATTGATTCCAAATGTATGTTGTCTAACAGTGTTGAGTTAATGAGATCACAGACTTTGTGGATATTTTCTTAAAGCAACTTTCGTAGGGCTTTCTTGTGAATTGGCCCAAGGCCCTATTAGAAGAAACTCATAGGGATAAACAAGCTAACGAAGGTGTCCAGTATTGTGCATCTCATAAATGTGATAGATATTTGAAAAAAATGAGTGAATTTGATATAGAGTAAATATGTAGCATGCAGTTCTCACTGTAGCAAACATGCAAAAAATGAATAAATTCGTACTTTAATAAATATTGAACAAGTACATACTGGAGATATATTGTTGAATTAAAATGAAAAGTTTCATATGTTGAAAGAAATTGGGTTTTGATATTTATGTTTGAGATATTGTTTATAATAAAAAATTAATTAAAAACTAAGATATAATTAATTAAAAACTAAGATATAATGTAATCAGCATTACAATTAACTCACAAATACATCAAGCTTAAATACAACTTTGAAGTCATCTTTATTTCCAAATAATTTTATGTGTGCATGTTCTTGACATATTAAATTGTAAATGGAGCTTCCCTGAATGTTAGAAATAATGTAAGACTTATAAATTATTTTTCTTATAATAATGTATAGTTCTTACAAAAATTTTCATATTGTAACTGTCATGTTTGTGACATGCTTAGATGACAATTTTCTTGTGAATGTAATATACTGAACAAAAAAAATGACTAAAGTTATTTTTTTTTAAAGATTTATTTATTTATGCATATAGAACTGGGGAGCCAGCCAGAGGTGCAGGGGCGGTGAGAGGATACACCAGCGATACAGCAGGGAGCAGAACAGGCAGTTCAACCAAGTTCACTGCTGAGGGGAGCAGCAGGTGGGTCAGGAGAGGTCTGCAAAGCCACGTGGGTCACCCCAGGGCCGGGATAGAACTCAAAATGAAGCTGCTGTGGCTAGCTTGCAGTGCTGTGTCCTAACCCATTGCGCCACCAGGGAGGGGCCCACTAAGGTTATTTCTATAGGCCCTCTTTTGTGATAGATGTCATCTCTAAGCATTTAAAATAAAACTCATGAATTTATTTTCAAATCATATCATAGTTTTGCTTATATAACTGAAACTGGCCTATACAGTCTCTATAGACGAGTCAATGCACAAAGTTAGGTCAATTAAAACAAGAATCAATGATACTAAATAAAAAGTTTAGATATTACGGGCAAATAATAATTACTACTGTAGAAGTTTTGTAAATAATCTACATCCAGTATCTATGTTTCTACACACATACATATGTAGACATTTATAAGATACTGGCTATAAATAACTTTTAAACACAGTTTCAGACTAACCTGCAAAGTACATTTAAAGAAATTTTTGTTTCTATAAAATATCCCTAGTAGATGCCTGCTATATAGTGTGATTGATAAAATACTTGCAGATTAGAGAAGATCTCATTTTCACTACTATGATTGTTATTGTTTGTTTGTTTCCAGTCCAATAAAACATTTCAACTTTCTACAAATGCTTTCTTTGATTTTCATTTGTTTTCAGACTACTTTCAGTAATCAAAGCCTGAACCATGTTATTTTTAGATTCCTGAATAAAGATACAAGTATGATTCACAATTAAGAAGCCATTTAGGCCCTCCCTGGTGGCGCAGCGGGTTAAAGCACTGCACTAAGAAGCTTAAACCAGTTCTGCATGAGTTGGATCCCCACCTGCCCCGGAGGTGACCACATGGCGTGGCAGACCTCTCCTGACCCGCCCGCTGCTCCCCTCAGCAGTGTACTTCGTCGATCTGCCTGTTCTGCTCCCCACTCTGTTCTTGGTGAATCCTCTCACCCTCCACATCTCTGGCCTGTACCCCAGTTCTGTATGAATAATCTTAAAAAAAAAAAAGAAAAAAAAAAAAAGAAGCCACTTACAAGTGAACCAAATAGAAAATTAGTCACTCCTGTTGGATCAAAATTATTAATTGTGTTGCTTCTCAGGAATTCAAAATACTTTGGATGGTATGCTTGGAACTCTAAAAAAAAAAAAAAAAAAAGGATTTTACGGGCCCTCCCTGATGGCACAGGGGGTTATAGCACAGCACTGCAAACTAGCCACAGCCACTTCACCTGGAGTTCGATCTCTGGCCCTGTAAGTGATCCACATGGTGTGGAGACCTCTCCTGACCTGCCCGCTTTCTCTTGATGGTGCTGTTAAGAATACTTAGCACTAAATTTTAATTTAATTATGATTAGTGGATCATATAAAGTGTCCCAGTGAGGTTGAATTTCTGTGGTTTGTATTAAAATATCTACATGAATCTTCAAATAACAGTAATATTACTGCTAACAAAGAATCATTAATGGATGTTTTAACTACTCACAGTAAAATGAATAATACATTGCTAAAAATATTATGTTTGTAAAACAGAATATCAGAGACTAGACAGAGGTGGGGTGCAAAGTGGGGGTCATGCTCAATTGTATGTAAGGGACTATGGTTACCTTGGTGATATGTGTGGTATGGTAACATACATCTGAAGATTTGTGAACCTAGACCTCACGATCCTATACAGTGTTGTAAATCAATGTCACCTCAATTCAAAACAAAGAAAAAAATATTGTCATGTCTCATCTCTGTAGGTTTATATATTAAATAGTATGTGCTAAGCAGATAATGATACTTATTTTAAAAGATTTCATATCAAACAACTTTCCCTAACCCTCATTTTGTTTGGGAATGCTGGAGTTATTTTAGTTTCATGTATTTTTATATGTAATTCTTTCCAGGTGTAGGAAGTTTCCTCTATCCTTAAGTGAAGTCTCTGTTCCCTTCTCTCTCTCTCTCCCACCTCTGGGATACCCATTATTCTTACATTAACATTCCTCATGGAATTGGATTGTTCTTGAAATGTTTCTTCATTTTTTAAACTTCATTCCTCTTTCTTCTTCTACCTTGATTCTTTCTTCATTCACATCTTCAAGATCACTCACTTGATCTTCCATTGTTTTTATTTTTAACTTCAATAGCTTTCTCCATACATATTTTTTATCTTCCCAGTTGATATGCTTACTTCCACAGATCTGTTACTTTCTTTTTTAAAGCTTCAGTTTTGCTCTTCTATTTATTGACTTTATTTCTCAGGGCATTCATTTGTTTTTTGGGTTTGCCTTTGTATCATTGATTCTCCTTCCTGTCATTTCTCTGTGCTCTTCAATTTTCTTTATTATGGAAATTTTGAATTATGTATCTGATAAGTGGAACAATTCTTCTATATCATTGTGATTTAGTTCTGGACATTGTTTTCTTTCCTGAGTCCCTGAGGACTTGTGTGGCTATTTACTGTGATTTTCTTTGCTATCACAGATGTACTGTCAGGCTGGGCTTCTATCGGGCATAGTTTTACCCACTCCCCTTGCGTGGCCAGGCCTCTTATCAAGAGATTCAGGGAATATTGGCGTGTGGCAGTCATTTCACTGGGACTGGCTCTGCCCGGGGGTTTGTCTTAGTTGAAATGTTTTATGTCCAAATTTTATGATCATTTCCGTATAAGAAAATGAATCCATTCCCTTGAATGCTGCTTGCAGAATCCTATTTATTAATATTTCCCTATTTTTATAATAATTATATTAAATATAATCACCAATATTTCTGTTCTTCAAAATTCTGAATTTTAACAAAACAAAGCAACAGGTCCAATTCTAAATTTTACATCGTTGATAATGTTAGGAAACCTTTCTGTAGAGTTTCTCAAATCTGTTGTTTCTCTTTCTCTCATTCATTCTATCTCTTTATCTTACTCCTTTTTACTAAGAGTGTTTCCTTCCTTTTAATAAGCGATTCATTCTATGATCTTTTGCCTTCTGGGAGAAATTCATCATTTTAAGGTTATGGTGGTAACACATTTCATACAGGCATTTGAAAAGTCTCAGAATTTTTTTATGGATTGAAAAATCCCTGGTGTTATTATTACAGTTTATTTTTCAAACACTAATGAAAATTCATTTCATAATAATATTTCAGAATCCATTTTCAGCTAATTTTCATACTTTATGAAGCCATCCAGAACTAAAAAATTTATCTCTAATGTAGCTTAATCACCTTTTGTCAAGTTACCTTTCAAATGTAAACCTTGGCCTCCACACTTAGAATATAGTTAACCTTAAGATTATACTCACATTTACATAGCATACAGTTATGATAACACTTGGGATTTTGATATGGATAACATTTAAAACTGACTTTGATTTCTGAACAGTAGCTTAAAGGAAACTCATTTCTTTCAGCTCCCACATATGGTGAGGAAACTAGGCCATGGATTCTAGAAAGGAAATATCCATGAACATTTACTCTTAACGATGGTGCAGCTTATTTAATGAACTAAAATTAAACAATGTATGTGACATTGCATATACTTCTAATAGTAAACGTAAATTTTGCTAGAAAGCTAGAGTATTCATATATATTTGAGCAGCATTTAAAATTTGCACATTGAATGTCCAGTTTCTCAGAGAACATATTTTTTTCTGATTAGTAATTCTTATGGTGATCCTTCCTGTACATCTTTAAAATGTCAACATGGTTCATATTTTTGAACTTTTGCTGTCACTGCTATGTTGTGAATGGACACTAAATTGTTAAAATTTATCACAAAAGACCTGTTTTACCAGAATATTCACAAAGTGATCATTTCAGCAGCATGTTGTTTTGGTACAATACAAAAATTAGTGTTCGTAAAAAGTAAGATTAAGACATGAAATTACTTCCAGGACTGTGTAATACAAAAGTGAGCAATAGCTCAATTTGAAGCTCCCCCATCTCTATGAGCTGAAAATTTAAGGAAAGAAATACAAAAAAATTTTGAAATCAATTTTCTTGGAAATGTGCAATCTTACCTTTCCTGTTTTTTTCCCTTCAGATTTCCACTGATTTAGAATATAATGGAGGCAAGGCAGCAAAGGAAAACAAAACAAAAACAAAAAAATCAACTTTAATTTGTTACTTAAATACATGTTTTAAAATGTTAATATTCCAAGTACACTATTACACAATTTTGTTGTTCTGAAATGGTTTCATCTGCTGTATTCTTTAGCAATTCCAGTAAAGGGATACAAAAATATTTTCAAGCTTACACAACATTATAAATAGTTGTATTAAAAATTACAATGGCACTAAACATTAAGACATCTGCTTATTTCACATAGTTATTGGCCAAGAAAAGGCATCTTTCAAATTAGATATTCATCAACATAATTTATTTTTTTCTTCACTTTAATGTGAATGAACCTTGACCTGAAACATTGAAACTTTTTTAAACTTAAGATTGTTCAATAATGTAAATGAAGAAAAGAAATCATGATGAAAATTCTGTAAAAGAGCTATAGGGAAAATAATAGACATTGTTGGGATGAAACGCATCTTCATATCAGAAACCACACATTATATCATACATGTATTAGTGTATGTATTTCTTCTCCAAGTGCAATGATTTTATGAAAGATGGTTGAACTCACAAGCAGTAAGGAGGTACAAATTAAAAAAACAGTGGCATCCGTAATATCTATCATACTGGGAAAAAAGTTAAGTCCATGCACCTATTACTGACAAATAATTAAAGAAATAGTAATTTTATATATTTTTTTTAATAAAAAAGGAAATTCTCCCACGTACCCACAACACGACCATCCAATTCAGAGAAATAGCGTTGAACTCACAAGCAGTAAGGAGGTACAAATTAAAAAAACAGTGGCATCCGTAATATCTATCATACTGGGAAAAAAGTTAAGTCCATGCACCTATTACTGACAAATAATTAAAGAAATAGTAATTTTATATATTTTTTTAATAAAAAAGGAAATTCTCCCACGTACCCACAACACGACCATCCAATTCAGAGAAATAGCATTGACCTAGCACTACCATTCAAATCACAGACTCCGTTCAGGTTTCACTATGTTCCATAGTGATAATCACGTGCCTCCTTTGTCATATCTCTATAGAACAAACAGTTCCTGAGTGGGACACCTTTCTTAAAGAAAGAAAAACTAAGGTGTTTAGAAATTTATAAATTCAGAGAAATCATATGGAACTCTCCTACACTGCTTGTGGGAATGCAAACTGGTACAACCACTACGGAAATCTGTTTGAAGGTTTCTCAAACTGCTAAAAATGGAGCATCCATAGGACCCATCAATCCCACTCCTAGGTACCTAACTAAAGGACACAAAAACATTGATTCAAAAGGACACCTGCACCTTCATTTTATGGCTGCTGTATTTACAATAGGGAAGACATGGAAACAACCCAAATGACCAAAAAAAGATGACTGGGTTAAAAAGATGTGGTACATATACACAATGGAATATTATTTGGCAATCAAAAAGACAAACGCATGCCTTTTGTAGCAATGTGGATGAAGCTGGGAGGGATCATGCTTAGTGACTAAGAGAGAAAGAAAAGGAAAAATACCAGATGTCTTCTCTCATAGCAGGACTGTAAGGGATAAAAAAAAAAAAAAGCAATTGTAATGAAGAAAAATGAAAAAAATATAAACCAGAGACATTTTATGGGGGTTGAGAGGGGAATGGGATCAAAACTGGGGTGGGAAGAGTACACGGGACTATGGTGATGGCACACAGGTAAATTGGTGGTGAGATGTCCACAGAGATTACAGCCAAGATGATAAAATGCACAAAATGAAGAATGATGAAAAAATAATTAAATAATTGTTTTTAACTCAGAAAAAAAAATAAATGGAAATATTAACTCTGTTGTTAATTTATGTTTTTAGGAACACCTTAAATTCTGTTCAACTAAGTCCTTTTGGATGCCATCTGGTAAAGTTATTTGTATATTTTTATTTTAAATTTCTTTTCCTCCATTTCCAATCTCAAGTGACATGTTAAATTTTGAAGACACCATATCCATTTGTGTTATTTTATTTTGAATTCATTCATTCTGCTTAGTAGAAGATTAATACATTACATAATAAATAAATCAAATGTCTATTGTTCGAGGTAATGATACTTCCCAAAATACTCTTGAAGCCATGACTAGTCCACGATCAGCCAGATATATGTATTTACCTACTTTCACTTGTTTTCACAGAAGTAACAGATCTCGGCTATCATCTCTTAAGTTATAACACAAGCATGTGCACAAGTGTTTGAGTTTAAACTGAACTCCAAACTGAATGGAACTAAGAAATCACTCATAAGGAACCAAGAAGACAAGATGGGGCTGCTAAGATTACTTTCAACAAGGAATATCTGATTATCTAGAAAATAATTTAAGTATGGACCAATTTGTGACTAATCAATCAGAATTTGCCAAAACCCTAGCATTCTCATCCCTAAACTTTCCCCTCATTTTCTTCTTCAAAAAACTAATCTTAGCTCCCAAATTGAGGAGACATTTTGAGCACGGTCTCCTGTCACTTTGCTGGACAATATCACAATATAACTCTTTCTTTGCCCAAAAAGTGATCTCATAATATTGATTTTTATGCATGTCAAATAGCAAGCTCTTGCTCAGCAATACTTTCTCTCTATATTTTCCACAATTCTTGTCATTTATGTACTTAAAAGAAGTTTTATTGAGAACTTTCAGTACAAAGAATTACACACAAAAAATGAGGTGGTAGTGTTGAATTTGAAATAAGGTGAACACAGAGATTAAATTAATATAGTAAGAAACTAGATGCTCTATTGAATTTTATCCAGTGACTTATTCTGAGACCAAGGGGAAATATTTTACTTCCTGTCATCCTACTATAACTTGAATTTCTGAAACTGACATTAAGGCAAGTGTCCAGATACAGGCACATTTCTATTATGCAAGACAAAATATGCTTTTCTCCTTCCATTTGTGTATTTATTTTTAGTCTAAGATATTCATGACATCCTTATGTATTGATCAAATTCAACTATCAATGACACAACTATAAAATTCTATTTGTGATGTCATAACTTTTGAATATTGTCTTGAGTAATCTTTTTAAAGAAAGTGCTTTTGGACGTCAATGTCTTTAAACAATTGATATTTATATCTCCTTTCTATTATGAATGATGATTCTCAATAATATTAAAAGTCAAATATCAAACAAAAATAATGGCATGGACAAGAAAATACCCCCAGATTTATGCATATCTAAGAATATAATATTTAAAAGTTCACTCATTTTATCTTTTCATGTGCTTAGTGTTTATTTTTGATACAGCATACATATTAGTGAGTTGTTTACTATTTACACTGAGCAATCTAAAAGAATTAAAATCTTAAACTAACCAAGTAAAGATAAGAAAATGTTAACTGGATCTATTTTTTGTAAATAACTTATTGAATTATGAAAAAAATACATGACAATACTCAAAGTTATTCAGCATCATTAAGTGAGCATATCTTCACCAATTAATGAAATAATCCAAGTACAAAATATGTATTTATTTGTCAAATTATATATTTTAGTTAAGAACATTGCCTGTACTGTGCTACTATTCCTGATTTAATAGTTTCAGGAAACTTCTATTAAAGATAGTTTCATATAGATCATGCATAAAATATTAACATTATAGTCCTTATATTTATCCACACCACACAGAACTAACACAATCTGTCACCATGAATAACATCAGCTGCACATCAACTAAGCAAGTGTTATAATTAAAAGAAAGCACAGAAATATGTTGGCAACAATATAAATAGGTTGAAAAATTGATGCCAGATTTGATATTAGAAATAATTTTTAAAATCAAAGAGCAACTTCTATTTTAATACAGACATGCATTTTTATTCTCTTACTTAAAAACTTCCCTCAAAAGAGCAAATTAAACCTTCAAAGCACTGTACACAAACTAAATTTCATTTATATGTATATTCTTTCTGTCTGTCTCTATATATGTATATACATACAGAGAGAAAGTGAGACACACCTTCAAATTAGCATTTTTCCATTCTTCAGGTAGACACATAAAAATGGAATTGCTATTTCATATGGTAGATGTAATTTTTTTTAAGTTTTGAGAAACACTGTTTTCCATAGGAGCTGTTCAATCCCATTACCATGAACTGTATATGAGTGTTCCTTTTTCTACACACCCTCACCAACATTCATTTCTGATTTTTTTTTTATATATGGGCTATTCTCAGAGTTTAGCAGTGGTATCTCGTGGCATTGATTTGCATGTCCATGATGAAAAGTGATGATGAGGATTTTTTCATAAGGCTATTAGTCATTTATATATCTTCTTTGAAAAAAATGTGTATTTTGCCTGTCTGACAAATGCTTCAGTTTTTTGTTTTGTAGTTGAGTTGTATGAGTTTTTGTCCAATCTTGTATATTAACACGTCAGTTGTATAATGTGCAAAATTTCCCTCCCTTTTAAGGATACTTTCTTTCACTATGCAGAAGCTTTATGGTGTAATCATTTGTTTATTGGTGTAGTCATTGGTTTACTGTTGCTGGAGTCCATTCCCAAGGACATACTGAAGACAATGTCATAGATTGTTTTGCCTAAGTTTTCATCTATGGATTTTTAGATTTCAAGTCTTATATCCATTAGGGGTTTACTTCTGTATATGGAGTGAAACACTGGTCTAATTTCATTTATTTTCATGTAAGTGTCCAGTTTCCCACAGTTTCCCAACACCCTTTTTTTTTTTTTGCTTATGTTTTTGTTTATTTATAAAAATAGAATCATACTATATATGGTATTTCACAATTCTCATTTTTTAGTGCTGTATATAATGTACATATATACACACATGAATCAAGAAGATGTGATATATATACACAATGGAATACTATATATATGGTAGATTGAGATTTCCTGTAATAATGATGTTCATGTTTGCATATACTTTTATTTACTTTTTAAATTTTAATTTATGTATCTGTTTACATTGTTGTTCATTTTAAAGCAATGTT